GGGGATTGGTGATTGAAGAGGACGTGAGATACAACCATAAGCTTTAAAGTGAGAATTTGAAGTGACAGAAAACAAAACAAAAAGAAAAACTTTCGGTATTTGTTAATTTGTTTTTTAGATTCATATCGTAGTGTCGCGTCGTGGCCTTGTGGTAAGGCAACCGGACTCGTAATCGTGAGGTTGAGGGTTCGGGGGTTCGACCCGCGGGCCTGACGATGTGTCCTTGGCGAAGGCACTTTACAGGAAGTTTCTTCACTTCACCCAGGTGGGAATGGGTACCCGGTCATAGACAGCGAAAGATCTTGTCAGTATGTTAGTGTTTAATCGCCTATAAATGGCTGCTTGCACTATATGTTTTCAAAGAAGTTGAGGTTGTTTCAGAATGCTCTCAGGTCTGTTGGGGTGATAGTATAGATTTTGAAGAGCATAAAGCTGGCTGTTGAGAGGGAATTTGCGCTATACAAATGATATCAATTATTATTAAAAAGACGCCGACTCAAAAGGCAACGCTTTTTAAGTTTCGAGAGAAAAAAAAATCCAGACACTACCGAGTGATCGTTTAGATTAACGCTGCTGTATTTTTAAGCCCCGCCGCCCCGCAGATACATTTAAGGACTCGGGTTGAGAGAGATAGGACATTCTTGCAGAAATACCGGGATATTCGATCACAATGTGGCCCCCCTCACTCGGGATTCGAACTCGGGTCTCCGATGAGCAACAGGAAAGCGCCTAACCGGTGAACCACATACGCCGGTACAAGGTACTAACGCTGTTGACATCTTGTTGAATTCAAAAGTTCAAATTTAAGCCAGCCTTGCCCTAAATCGTGATTAATTGGAGGCTCTGTGACACATTACATCCACCAGATCTCTGTGTGGGGAAACAAATCCCCAGTAAATAAATCAATAAGTTGGAAAGGAGTTAATGTGTGAGGCTGGTTGTCTCTTGTTTTCTTTCTTTTTTCTTGTTGTTTTGTAAGGAGAAACCTTGAATTTTCTCAATGCACTAAATGTTAAATAACGAAAACAAAAAGAAACCAAATAGAGAAAAACAGTTAAACAAAACAAACCATCAAACAAAAACAGAAGCTTTAAGACGGGCTTTTCTTAAACCAGATAAACATTTAACCCTGTCAATGTCATACACAGTTGTCTCTGGCGCAAAAAACACGAGAGCACCCGCCAGCCACCCACACATTATGCTCTTCGCTGTCGCCAAAATTGTATAAAAGTAGAGTTAGTCTATGGGGTTTAAAGCCCTTAACACTATTTGGTTATTCAAGAGGCGGACCTCCGATTACAACGTTCTTCTCCGATAGAACCAAGCCAAAGTTAGTTCAGAGCCTTGAAAACTTGAGAAACATAATAATTATTTTAAAATAAAAGAATTTTAAAAAAGCGATTCGAGTTCAAAAACACCCAGTGTTGGATTCGAAACGGGCCATCCGGTCCGTAGTTCAGCATGATACCAAATGAGGTAACTGTGGGCCCACCCCGAACCCCAATATCCCCCTAATTTCCACAGCCCCCAGACATCCTCAACCTCCAGCCCCCCTCTCCCCCAATCCCCCAACCTCCAGCCCCATATTATATTGTGTGAACATCAACCTGGGAGTTTGTCAGAATTCTAAGGCTTCGTTTAATCTCAAAGAACAGTTTCCAGGCTGAAAACATCTGAGGACCGGCTCCAAATGTCACCGGAAACAGCGTTGAAAGGCCGCCTAATTTTGTCATTTCTTCACCGATGACATGGTGCATTGTCTGCTGTTCAGAAAAATTCATTGCAAATTATCTGTACTCATTATGGGCATGAAAGACCACTAGAGAAAAGCTCTCACACATAAACAATCATGCCCATACAAGCGTTTTTGTTTATGTGCGTCCTGATGCATTCACTGTACACGGGCACGCGCCTTCAGTTGTGCATAAACGAAAAATATATCTAAATATCCTAGGATATGCGCAAATGCATGTCTTTCCATTCATGCACACACAGGCACACACACAGGCAGGCATACACACACACACACACACACACACAC